CCGCCCCCCCCGAAAAAAAAAATACTAGCCGATGCCCACCCTTCACAGGTGGTCTTCCTTGTCCCTGATGCTCCATGTAGTTACCGAAAACCCACGCGTCCTCAGACCCGATAAGCCCGCCGCCGAGAAACCGAACACCCATGCCCGATATCCCCCAAACCCAACAATTTAAGCATGCTGCGAATTGACGACCCCATGTCGGTTTAACCCGAAAAGTGTCTTGCCGTGAATATATGTAATCATCTGAGCCTTATATAATCAGCGCATTCGGCGCAAATCGGCGCATTCAGCGCAAGTCGGCGCATTCAGCGCAAGTCGGCCCAATGCAGCGCAATTCGGCGCAATGCAGCGCAATTCGGCGCAATGCAGCGCAATCCGGCGCAATGCAGCGCAGTGAGCGCAATGCAGCGCAATTCGGCGCAATGCAGCGCAGTGCAGCGCATCCGGCGTGATTCAGCGCAATTCGGCGCAATGCAGCGCAGTCCAGCGCATCCGGTGTAATTCGGCGCAATTCGGCGCATTCAGCGCAATTCGGCGCAATGCAGCGCAGTGCAGCGCATCCGGCGTAATTCGGCGCAAGTCGGCGCATTCAGCGCAATTCGGCGCAATGCAGCGTGGTGCAGCACATCCGGCGTAATTCGGCGCAACTCGGCGCATTCAGCGCAATTCGGCGCAATGCAGCGCGGTGCAGCACATCCGGCGTATTTCAGCGCAATGCGGCGCAGAGCGGCGCAATTCGGCGCAGAGGACTCGACCTCGAATCCAGTCCCGGAGCCCGCACCCACTGGGAATTTGCGTGGAAGTTGCGTGGATGGAGGTCGTTCCATGGCGGGAGCTAGGTTGTTGCCTCGCGAGGCAGAGCTGCGGCATGGCGACGAAGAGCGGCCATCCTGCCAGCGGAGGGCCTAGACTCAGCGCTTGACGCACTTAAAGCTCTCACCCAAAAGGAGTACACCCAATCCTGTGCAACCCTGAGCGCACGGAGCGCACGTGAGGCCAAACGCCTTGACGAAGGAACTGTCGCAGGCCGCGGCAGAACTCCTTGGCGAGGTGACCCCGGCCTCCTTTCCAATCTGTGAGCTCTTGAACCTGAAGATGTGAGGTGCCGAAGATCCACCGCCTGGCCTTTGGCATCTTTCCGGCAGGGCCCTCAAAGCGCCGGCAAAATGCTCCAGGCGGTGCCTTGGTTATGTTGGCGTGTGCATAAGGTGCTTCAAATACTGGAGCGCCTGCTATCGCCAACCGTGGCCGAGGCGCTGTTGCCCCTCTGAGGTTCAAGAATTCTCTGAGCATGGGTCCGTGAGTTACAACGGTTTGCCGGGATCAAGAAATGCATGTAAGTGTATCATGCGTAGCTTTCTCTTTTGCGCAGGTGGATGGCATGCGAATGTGCACGCCCCCACTTTGGAAAGGAGGTCTCTCGGCAGCGACTGCCGCCAGGACCATGGACCTAGCTGGCTGCGACTTAGGCTGAAGAGTGTCTGCCCAGTTGCATGATACTGGGAGTATAGTCAGTTCCACGAGCCTTTGCGCATGAAGCCACCCTGGAGGATTCATGGAAGCTCCTTGGCGGCAGCGGGTAGGCGGCTGCTGTCGGGAAGTTCACCGCGTCGACAAAGACAACCGAAGGTGGCGAGTCCGGCTGCGACGAACTACAGGCACTGGCCGCACGGGACAGGGAGCACGCAAAGCAATCAGGGGGAAAGAGGAGTAAGAGTTGAGAGTGGGAGAAGCCATAGAAGTCCAGCTCGCAAAGAGGTTCACTGTTTGGGGAGCAGTGCCAGGTGCGCTCGGGGCGAAGCGCTGGGAATTTCCTATTGGGCAATTCGGTAATCCATCCCTCCAGCCCAGCCTTCCAGCCGAGCACTGAAGTGCGCTGCACAGTTGTAGGGACCCTTATAACTGTGCTAACGAAATAGCGGTTAGGGGAAAAAGACCCCAGATTCATTAATTAATACCAGTGTGATTATGGGCTAGTATGTTTTTACTATTCAGGAGCTTTTGTCAAATTCACACGTGTACAGAACTCATAATATCCCCGTGCCCCCCCCCTTAAAATTCTTACATTCGGGGTTCACTTCGTGCGCCCAAACGATACTTCAATAGGGGCGCAAGAACGAACCAAAACAGCGACTTCACGCTTTCGTGGTATTGCGCGTTGTCGCTTCGCTCATGCACTAGGTTATCATGGAACTGTGTTCGCCCCCATCCCTGGACTCACCCTTTCATGTTTTTATCTCATTGTGGGGCCCCTGTGTGTGTGTGTGTGTGTGTGTGTGTGACAGGAAGATCCCGGAAGGGGCGCGGGGTTTCTGGGCCAGGTGTGTAGTGTACGCCTAAACATGAAATCTGGCTTATGCCAGACCCTGGGTTAAAAGAAGTGGAACCTAATTTCAAATTTCTTGTCTGGACTGATTTCTTGGTCCTACAGAAGTGGGGCTTTCATAAAATGAGCAATAGATAGATAGATATATTATATATATATATATATATAGGCCCACGCCATTTCCATTTTCGGCCGCCCCTCTTTTTCGGATGGCTCTTTCCGCTGAAGTCTTGGATGCGCCTGCCTTTTTTGCCATTCTTCTTCTGCCGGGGCTGCTGGTGGAAGGGGGGGTTGGTGTGAGCAACTGGCAGGCGCTCGTTGCAGAGAAGGGCGCCAGGTGTGTTATCGACGTCGGGGCCATGCCTTGGCCTTAGCAATCGCATACTTCTGTTGTGAGCACTTGGAAATCTCTCCCCCCCTCCCCCCGTCCCCGGAGAAGCACACGCAGGTGAGGCTTCATTTTGGATGTTGCCGAGGTTGCCGTGGTTGGGGGTCCGAGGTTGACTTCTACGTTTCAAGGGGGTTGGGGCAACGGTTGGAGAATTTTGGAGCTTGCAGGGGGCCCTGAATTTATGTGCCATGCGGATGCATGCGGTACTGCCGCGGCTGAGCCTCAATACCGTTTCAAAGTCCATGCCGCCTTCCCTAGGTTCGGCGCCTGCGTCGCTCCCGTGGCCAAGAACTTCCCGAAGGCAAGGCATGGGACTCTAAACGAGTCTGAACCCTAAACATCCCCAAACCCCTATAGCCCTTGTACCCTTGAACCCTAAGCCCTTTTTTTTTTGGGGGGGCGCTGAGGTCCGTGTGGTGGCCTTCGAGGCACAGACCGAGGCCACGCGGCTGCTCCGCAGGCGACGCGACACACCAGCCTGTTCGACACCATTCAGGCTTAAAGGTGTCTTTTTTTGGACTACTACTACATATACGCAACAGTATGTATCATAGTCATCTATAATACACTCATATATGTACATGTTTATGGTCGTTCTTGAAAGCCTGAAGAGGACTGCGGAGCTGAATCAGCTGCAGATCGAGGTGGGCGGCTTGGAGCGGCCCTTTGAGGGAATTTTCATGCGCAAAATCTGCAGCTCCCAACTGCTGCCGACGTGCTCTCCGCGCGCTGGTCACGGATCATCCTCCTTCAACCATCGCATGTATGCGCAAAGTGCAGTTTGATGCGATAGGTTCGTGAGCATCGTGATTCTTGTTTGGGTGGCCCCTTCAGGTCCATAACGTCTGCATGCTGCAAGCAGCCGAGCCGTGCGAGTGCGAGGTCCACCCAATCCCCTCTTTGAATATGAGGTCATAACCTGTCTCTTTCTGTGCCCCTCTTCATTTCTGCCTCACGCAGGCCTGCAGCACGCTGGAGAAGGAGCATCCCTTCGGTTCGGAGGCGAAGATCCTGGACAACCGGCATTCAACATTCAAACTACATAGGTGCCTGAAACAAACTACATAGATGCTTTAAGCATGATGTGAGCCTGAATGAGCCTTATGAACCTTGAACGCGTTTGGAAGGGATGGCGGCGCAGGGTGCATGAGATCACCTTCGTTTTCGAGCGCCAGGGGCCCCACCTCCTGTGGATGAGCCAGATGAGCGGCCCACTCCAAGGCATCCTGAAGGCACCCAACCGCGATGAGAGAGCGTGGATCGGTGATTGAAGTGCTGCCGACATTTTTCGATGGGAATTTCTAGATCAGAGCTTGCGCGTGAAGTGGAGCAGGTGTAGGAGGAGCATGGAAACTGGCAGACTGCAGCCGTCTCTAAGGGGTAAATGCAGGTTCAGTTGGGAACTCTGCAGCCTACACGTAACTACCCGTGGTCCTCCAAGATGTTCGAATGAATAGCCCTTTGCAGGGTGGCGAGCATCTGTTCCGAGCCGGCGTGGTCGAGACCGTGGCCGTCCGGGGCCTTAATCAAAGCCGCAGATGAGAAATTTTAGGTCCAAGCACCTCTTGTATCTGCAGAAGTGCTGACATGCCTGTCCCCTCCCCAAAGCCCCACATCCTAAATCCTCCTCCATTCCCCCCCTTCCCTTTTCTTTGAGTGGGTGTTTGTTCCGCTGCTACAGATCCTGACTGTCGGGCCCGAGCTGCCAATGATCCGACGCCAGCTTGGTGCAGGACCAATGCGAAACACTGAAACCCTTGCAAAGTGATGAAGCCCGACCCATGCAGCTTCCTGGCCATTCCGACAATCTTGCACACGCACTTGCAAGTCGGGGTCTCGATCTCAAGACCCTGGGCCTCACCAAGCGTTGCTTCGTCAATTAAGCGCTCCAGGATACGACACGGAGCTCCGATGGCGAAATCAGTCATCGTGGCTCGTCGAGAAGTTCAAGCGAGCATTGGCACGAGGCTTTTCAGGTGTTCTTGCTTTCTCAGATTTCTGCACGTTCATGTCTGGGGTAACATGCCTTTTCGGTTCTCGAAGCTCAGCTTGCGTTCCATTCTGTTCCATTCGTGTCTACCTGATCTGAAAAATCGAGTCTTGCATTCTCTCAGGCACTCGACCGTCCTCGTTGTCGCGACTGCAAAGCACATAGACGCAAAACAAAAAGTCAATTTCGCGTTCCGCGAGAGCGGTTCCGCTCCTGCACTGCTTTCCATAGGTCGGCCTGCTGCAGCGTGCTCTGACGCTTTCCTGCGCCATGTATTTCGACAATTTGCACAGGTGAAGAGCCCGTTCCCACCACAAATACGTGGCTTGAGGCTGGTTCGGCCACCACTTGAAACCCTCGACTCTCGACGGTAAAGCACATTCGAGCCAGGCGTGTGAAAGAGGAGCTCATGCAGGACTGGGCTGGTCAGGAACCTGATGTTGGGTCAAGTGCTGGTAGATGCCGTATGATTCTCCCGGATTTTTTACACTCAGCTTCAAGGGCATCATGAGAAGGCCACTCACGCAGATCCTGGAGGAGCCGCCACATGTACTGGCCAGCGTCGATGCCGACATCTCGCGCTTGATCCTGGCGCTTGCTGGGCCGGGAGCCCCTTACAGAGGAAAGAGCCGCCTGCCAGAAGTGTTTGCGCTTAAGAAGTTTACATACACGAACTGGAGAGCAATCTGGGAGATTTTGGGAGAGGCGTCTGAAGTGTTTGTTTGCAGGATTCTGTCTTCGCCCGTCTGCAGGTTCGAGCCCTCCCTCAGCGGCCGCAGCGACCTGCGGGGGCCTCATCTTGTTACATCTTGTTACAACGTCCTAAGCAAAGATTTGGCACGACACGGCTCGGCTCCCTCAAAGCATCTGCAGAGTCTTACAGGGCCTCAAGCCTTGGGATCAGAGCGAAGCCCTCTGCCTCTCGCTCTTTTCCCGCTCCCTCTCGAGGATCGCCTGGAGCGCGACCACAGAGCCAGAATGGCCAGAAAGGGACTTGGAGGAGGACTTGGAGGACTTGGAGTGGTGGCACGATCTGAGCCACGAACATGTGGCCTTCGCGAGCCGGCGTCAGCTGGGTGCCGCCCTCAGGTTAATGCCCCCGCGGGCCAGCTTTTGCGGACCCATTTGCACGCCATTGCCAAACCACAAAAACTCTGAGTATTTTCTTTTCGTTTCTTGGCTTCTTTCTGTCAAGGAGGCTGCGTTGAAGAATGCTATTTGTAGTGATTTGCATCCTGCCACATCCTAAGCGAGCCCAGCCCGCACGTAGCCAGTTTGGGCTTGTACTCGAACCGAGCGGCGATGTCTTGACTGGGCCTGCCGCCTTCTACCAGATTCTACCACCAGCCCCAGGAAGCTGCTGCAACACTCTTCTGTACATTTGCACCTCCAAACGTGAACCCCATGAGAACCCAATCTCGTGGCCTTATGACACTATGACCCTATGCGATCCCTCAGCCTTTTTGACCTACAAACTGTAAACTGTAAACCCTCTAAACTCTCAACCCTTTTAAAGCCATGAAGAAGCTCAGGCTTTCTTTACCTCATGGCGCCGGACGACGTGGCAGAGCAGCAACCTCGGCTCCCGCCGTTTGGGGTGAAAGCTGGGCGTCCTTCCTGTTTATAAGCCGCTCCCATGATCGGGATCACACGTTTTTAATGGGCATACGGAGGACCCCTGAATATTCAGAGCCTCAAAAACGTGCCCTACCTACACGTTGAGCTACGGGGGGCCATGGCATGTCATTGTATAAGGGATCCCGAACAGGTGCTTTTCGGGCATGCAGATCATGGGGCATTATTGACATTGAAAGTCCGGTCTCCACGACCTTTTTCACAACTCGGAACCTTTTCTAACAGGCAACGGATGCTCTCCGGCCGGAAGTGTTTCCATGTGCAGGCTGGAACTCCAAGATGCTAGCGGCCATGGCCCTGTGCTTCGACTTGAGCATCTGCCCAGCAGCAGGAGACGCTCCTGGAAGTTGTTCAGATCTGTTAGCGCGCTGCTCTTGCCCAGCCCCGTTCAGCCAGATGCCCAATGTTTGGTCCCGAGCAGTTTCGTAGAAGAAGCATCACCGTTAAGCCAACAACGTATTCGCAACTAGAGTCAGAGGCAACCTCTGTGCGGAGGTCTCCCTCCTCTAGACGATAGTAGCTTCAAGCGCATGGAGTTACAGCGGAGCTACAGCAGAAACATGCAGAAACCAAAGCTTATAAGAGGTCTGCACCAAAGCAAGAGGGGTAGTGTCCGCACAGGCTGCTGGTCTTTCGAGCGGACCGCTTCTGCCTTTCCTCCTTGGCCTTTCAAGGCTGCAGCTGTGGGGCTGCAGCGACAGAGAATTCACACGGGAAACATCCAGTTCAGCACCTGACATGGCTTCCGCCAATCGGACATCCCCACCCACAGCTTTCTTTTATGCCCAGCCGAATCGCTGGAGGCGGGGCCAACCCGGACGAAGCCTGCGCTCTGGTAGCTTGGGATGGGAGCTCAGCTGTTCTTTTTCCCGCAGCAATCCGCTGCTTGCACTTTCTTTCCACAGTGTCACACTGTGTTCCGATCGACCTTCCTAGCAACCCCCCAGAATGCCCTATAGGCCCACATAGGCCCTCTAGGCTGAAAGCCGAAGGCCACGCAGCCAGCTCCTCTCCACCTCCAGGACCAGAAAGGGTTTGACCAATTTGAGACGGCGACTCACATGCACAGTGGTTTCAACACAGTGTGAAAGCACGTCCAGGCCTTGAACACCGGGCGGCGCGTCTGGACTCCGAGCCACGAGTGTGGCTGCCTTGTCAGCCCCTTGCCCCGAAATCTTATAAGCGGGCGCAAGCGCTCAGCTTCGGGACCCAGTTTGTGTCATCCCCACCCCCCCCCTCCCCCCTTATCACAGCGCCCCAGCACAACCCGAATTATCCTGACCAGGCCTCGGCCTGCGAGTTCCTGCAGCCAGCAGCCTGGAGGAGAACGCCCCATAGAACTTGCAAGAAGGGGTGAGCCGCGGTGAGCCTTGAGGAATTTCGAGGGTGTAGGACTTCTCAAGTGCAGGGGGGCGCCTGGGGTTGTGAAGCCCTTGGCGCAGGAGATCCTGGGCCCCTACATCGCCAGCTGCGATGCGCAGATCCAGGTGCCCACCACGCGCTTCGACACCTCCGCATACTTCGTGGAGGACTTCGACTTCCAGCCCTGGCGCAACAGCCTCTGAGACGGCAGTTGTTCTGCAGAGAGTTCAAGCGACAGGGAGGGCTCGAAATATACATGTGTAAGAAGCTCAGTGCTAGCCTCCGCAGAGAGTATCAGAGAACGCATTTACTTGACGCAGCCGGCGTCTTCGCTGCTAGCGTGCTGTACGTCTCCAGGCTACCAAGTGCACGGCGGGCTGCTGGAGGACTCTGTGGCCCCTTGGGGTGCAAACGGCGGTTAAGGCTGATATCTGATAGGTCTTCATTCTTTCTGGTTTGGTGAACAGAAAATCTTAGGACTTCACTTCAAAGATTCTTCAGATGATTCGGACTCCTCCCCTTGCCCTCCCAAGTCAAGAAAGCCAGGCCTTCAGCTTCCCTCTCGACGCCTTCGGAATGTCGGAGACCGAAGCTAAGGCCATGGCGCCCAATCAGAGGACGATGCGGGTAGTTGCAGATTGCAGGGCTTCAGGGCTTCAGGGCTTCTAGAAAGGCCAGAGACTTCGGCCCCAATGCAAGCCTCGGCTTCGAAGCCTCTCCCTGCGCGGAGGAAGGTCCTGGAAGTGAGTGCCGAGTGCTTCCAGCGCGCTGGCGTGGCCGATCTGAAGGGGAGGACGCTGGGATCCGCAAAGCCCTCCCTGAGTCTAAGGGCGGCAGACGACCAATGACGACCAAGGGCTGACAGGTTTGTCAAGCATGCAAGGCGCGCAGGGCATCGGGATCCGGGTGAGGGGGGCCTGGGCGCCCGCGGGGGCAAACCATAATAGGCCTGAAAGCCTTCGAAACCCTTAGATTTAAACATATTTAAACCTTGCATGAGCCCTCAAACCTAAACAATCCACAAGGGTGGCAGACCATGGAGGGGGGTGGGGGTTGTGGGGTGTGCAAAGACTATGTTACCCAAGGAAGGGCGGTTGGGGTGACTTCTGGTGTTGAGGGCATTGAGGCATCTTGGTGCCAAAAGGCAGAGTGGTGAGAGCGAGGTGTGGCAGGCAGGACAATCGAGGTGCAAAACTACTGGTGAGGGCAGTGATCGGGAGAGGTGCAGATGGGCTGGCCTTGATTAGCTCATACAAAGCAAATCAAAGCAAAATCCTGCCAACTACGCAGAGTTGTGCGCCATACCAGGGTGCTTTCACTTCTCACCTCATGGCATTATATTTGGCATCCTTTTGGCATCTTAAGAGTGTAGACGAGGGGACCGGTGTCCTACACGAGGAAGATCATGGCAGTGATCGGCGACTGTGGCTCCGAGTGGTGGAATACGGTGAGCAGCGTGGACGAGCTTGTCAGGCACCGTCTGAGAGCGTGGTTCGATATGAGAGACTCGGAAATGATAAGGGATCCGGAGGTTTTTGGGATCAGGGTGTAGGACGGAACCAAAGCGCGCTCTGCTCGAAGGGGCTTCATGCCCAGCAGAAGAACAAACAAGAAGCAAATGGAGAGAGTACAGGAAAAGCTTTCCTCCACGCTATCTCAGCAGGGATGGGAGCCCGCATGCGTGTCTTTTTCATGTCTCTATTGCCCCCCCCCGCCCCCCACCCCCACCCCCCTCCCCCGGAAGGCCGGGGCCGCCTCCTTCGCTGTACCTGACGGCGTCCTTGGTGTCCCAAGTGTTGGGCCTGGTGGGCACGAGCCTCACCGTGGACACGGCCTGCTCCGCGGGACTTACCGCCGCCCGGAGGCGAAGACAGAGATTGGCTGATATCAGAGGTGCTTTGCATTGACTAGTGCTTCACTTAAAGGTTGCCAGTATATATACAGACCCTCATACAGTATAATTACTGAGTATACTTCTTCAAAGACTTCTATCGCGTTCTCGGGTCTCCGCATTTGCAGCCGACTTCATCTGCGCAAGCGTGGCTCCCAGGCCCTGTGCGTGGGCCTGGCACAGAGTGAGAGCTGCCTTGCCGGCGGGGTGAACATCCTCAGCCGCTTCTCCTCAAAAGCAACTTCGGGGGCAGCCTCATTTGTCCTTGCACAGTTTGACGGTCCTGCTGCGTGTGGCTGCTTGCTTTTGTGTGTGTGTGTGTGTGTGTTTTTTGTGGCTTTGTGTTTTTGCCGCGATCCCAAGGCGATCCGGGAGTGTACATCAGCAACTGCGCGCAGGGCATGCTCTCCAGGACGCTGGGCCCTGAGCTCCGGATTGGGAGATCAACGTGGGATCACAAAATTGAAGAAACTGGAGTTGAAAATCCACGCGTCACATCGACACACCTTGTACCGCAGGAGAGGCCGCTGCTTCACCTTTGATGGTTCTGCCGATGGCTACGCGCGGGGCGAGGCGCCCGCGCGGCAACACATATTCCTGCTGTGTCTGCGGGGTCTTTGATTATTCGATCGTATGAATGTGAGTTTCGAGTTCATGAGCCAGCGCGCATTGGTGTGCCATCATCACAAGCCGATCTGTCCCAGGGCTGCTGCTTGGCCTACGTGGTGCGGCGGAGGGAGCAAAGCGACGGCGTTGGCCGCGTCCTTGGCTTCGAGGCCCCCCTGTCACGCTGAACACGTGCGTGTAACATGTGGCTTTTTGGTTGGGCGGATCGTGTGACAAGGCAAGTAAGCACTCATCCGGTCCTACCTAGCGATGGGAGTCCGGAGACGTGCTGATCCCATTCTGCCCTCAATGGTATCCTTCCCACTCGTTCCTGATAAGCCCTATAAAGGCCCCAAGCCCATAACCATGTTGCGTTGTTCAGGTGAATCAAGATGGGCGAAGTGCCAGCATGACTGCCCCTCATGGGCCATCCCAGCAGATGTGCATCCGAGCATCCCTGGCGAAGGCACGCGCGCAAAAAGAAAGCACCAACGTCTCGCAGTTTGCAACTCTTCGCCTTTCAGCAGCTTGCTAGGCCCAGCTGAATCCATCCGACCTGGCCACTGCGGAGTGTCACGGTACAGGCACCCTTCTTAAGGTAAGTAAAAAACACATATGTATACATATAGAGAGAGCTCTACACTGTCGGGTTCGCAGCTGAAGTTTTCGGACATGATCCGGCACAAAGCGAATCCATCCGAAAGAAGCGAAGCTTCAGACATGCTCAGAATTGACTCAGAATTGTTCAGACCTTCCCAGCGAGCAGGCACCCCTCTTGGAGATCCCGTGGAGGTCAACGCTCTTCGTTCGATGCGAGGTTACCTGTATTGAGCCTGGACACTTTGTTTTTTTCTTCTGGGCATTCTGAACAATCACGAGCTCTGCACGTGCCACGGGCGTGCGCACGCCGCGGACATGGGCAGAAGAAGTCCCCATGGACCCGCATGGGACATGTGATGCGTGCGTTACAAAGCCTACCCCTGGAGTTTGTACAATGAACAGACACGTTTTTTGTTCAAGGGGTTGCCGCCCAAGACACACACATGAGAGCTAGAACGGTGGTTTGGGAACCGCCCCACCCAAAGCGTCGTGTCGTGGCAGTGGAGTGTGCGCGTTTTTTTTTGGCCATGTGGTGCGTGCCTCACACGCATGCAGGCATGCATGCCCGCTCAATCCAAGCCGTAAGCCGTTCCTAAACACTGGAGCCTCCACCAGCAAGCTGCGACCGGGTGAACGACTCATTCGTCACTTTCCTTTCGCGTTGATTCCTGCATTTGTGCACGGGTCCCAATGCGGCCTCAGCTCGACAACTGCAACAAAGGCCTCGAGCGGCATCAACTGCAACTCCATCTGGCACATGCTGGGCAAGCAATAAAAGCGCTAGCAAGCCGAGAGTTGCAAGATTCGGATGATGCGCGTGTGCACAGTGCGCAGCTGACGATGGAGGTAACTACTGTACTCGCTCAGAGGAGGTTCTAGAACGACGAGTCTTCTAAAGACGCTGAGCGCGTAAGAGCTGACATCAGGCTCGGGCACAGAGCCACTGCTTCTGACCAGCTCGAAGAGTGGCTTGGAGTCGACAATGGCCCACAAAACAAGAAGGCATGTATCACAGAATCATAAATGCCCTCAAGAGCCCCCATGAGCCCCCAGCGACACCCTTAGGTTTGTAAGGCCCCCCTTATAGTCCTTCCCTCAGGCAACGTGGGGCACCTCGAGGCCAACGCTGGGATGCTGGGCTTGGCGAAGTGCCTGGTGATGTGCCAGGGCCGTTCTTTGCCCAACTGCCACCTGTACCTTCGGCTTGGGTTTCAGTGTTTATCAAAGAACAAAAAAAATGCTGCTATTATTTCCATCTTCGTTGGTTTGTGACGGCGTTTTGGGGAGGTCTGGAATACTGAGCATGTGATTGTAGGTTGTGCTGAATTCGGGCCTCTGTCTTGGGGGCGCCCCCCTCCCCCCTTCTCACTCTCGCTCTCAGTGTCTCCCTCTCTCTCTCTCTCTCTCTTTCTCTCTCTTCCACGAGAAGTACACACGAAGCACACCGGACATAGGGGTTTCGGTCTGTCGACGCAAAGAGTGCCCAGGCATGCCTTGAACCCGCACTTGACGGAGAAGTGGCCTGCCTCCTTCCTTACGGAGCTGACGTCCTGCCAAGCGCCGGTGCCGACAGCTGGCCTGCGGGCCCAGACATGCCCGGACTTGCCTAGACTTGAACCTGCCGGTTCGGCTGTTCGGCTCTGTGTGTCGTGCACTTTAGGTGCAGTTCCTGGTTTCGTATACTCATAGCATTTCATAGCACTCTCAACGGCAAGGACCAGTAGGAGCAAAGCGCGGAAGAGGAGCCGTTGCGTGTACTCAGCGGATGCGTCCCAGGTGTGTCGTCCTTCGGCGTGTCTGGCACCAATGCACACGCCGATCTCTGGGCCGGGCTTTCTGACACGAGGCCCCGGGTGCTCCAGTTGCTGCGGAATCTGCGGCTTTCACTAGAAACCAGTGGAGTGTGCCACTTGCAAGTTCATCAGCCTTTTCGCTTGCACCAGAAGTCGCAGCACGCTGAATGTCATTGCATTTAGCCGTGTTGTTACTTGCAGCCATACCGAACGGAGGAAGTCCTCGTAAGCAGCTGGATCTCTTGTGGCATTCGTCGGAGATCCCCGGAGGCTCTGTCAGCTGGCTAGAGCAACGCTGGAGTCTAGCGAGACGCGGGGATGTGACCAGGCAAGGAAGACGCTTTTATAAGGTGTCATGAATGTTTGGAGGTGACTACGGCGACTTGGCCTTGGCCGGGCATGAAGATGACGGCCGCAGCCTCACCGTTCGCAAGAGGTACACGAGCGGAAGCAGCAACAGAAACTGCAGATTCTATAGCCCGTGGCAACATAGATCGACAGAACAACAGCAGCAGCGACAACGACACACAACGATTCTCTGAGCTTTCCGCCTCCATTTAGTGATGTTGCGTCCAGTGGGACCTTCGTGATCCATCAAAGGGGCCTGAACATACCTAAGCGCCTAAACTTGCCTTCGTTAAAGTCGCTACAGGCCTTGCTCGGGGTGTCCCGCGTGCCCTGCTGTGATTTGTCATCCCAGTTGGAGCTCCTGGAGCCCCCGAACTTTAGGGCCTCTTGCAGAAGCTGGGGGCGCTTCTGAGTTGTGCCACCTTTCGTCGTCATCTCAAAATAATCAATCAAGCTGACGGACCATTTCCTGCCATCATCGCCTTGATCGTAAGCAAACACATCTTGAAACTACCAGAGGAGACTGCCCAGACATTAATGTTGGACCTGCTTTAGCGTGTCCCCCCCCCCACCCCGAACAGTCAAAGCCGTTGTGGACCCTTTTTAAACAGACCCCGCAAGCGTCTAGACCCCCGAAGCTGAATCCGCGAAAGCATGGACTTCCTCACGCGAAACCCCAAACCCTGGCCGAAATACCCTGAGTACCACCCCGACCAGGCACATCACTCATTCCATGACCTCTTGTCGGCCGTGGACCTCCCTCCTTTGTGCCAGGCGGCATGGGTGTTTGGTTGGCTAGATATGCACTTAAAACAAGGTCCCTCTCTCTTGGGGCGGTTGAAGTCCAATTCACGGGCTACGCTACTGCGGGGCGTGCTGAACGGTGTTTGCACTGCAACACAGGAAGAGTTCGGTGGTCGAGGGAACAGCAGGAGTGCATGAGCCTGCTGTGACATCATCGCAATCAGCAGTTGTTGGACCATCCCCACGAGCAGACTGGCTCAGGACCTACAGATCCCATGCGACGAGGTGGAGCGACGCTATGAGCGTAGCAGGTTTTGAATGTTTTTTTTTTGCGTGGTGAGGGGGGGGGGAGGAGGGTAGTTACTTTCTGGCCTGAACCGTCACCTTGACCCTAACCCCTATAAACCCCCCAACCCGAAACCCAAACACTTTACAAACAAGGGCTTTTCTTAAAAAACCACGCAAGGAACCAACGCCGAAACAAGGTGCACCTCAACAAACACTGCAAGCCGAAAAACGTGCACGCCAACAAGCCCCAAGACAAGGAAACATGACAAGGGCAAGATACCAAACAGACGAGCGCGCATAAACTTCGAAAGGCAGTTTTAAAAAACACATATATAAAGTCATATATAAAATCAACTTCAAATACTAGCGTTTTAACTACACGAAACGCGCGTTTCAATGAAAAAAGTACACAAGGAAGCAACGCCACCAACATTAAAAGGGCAAGATACAAAAACTGCGGGCGCAGAAACCTCAAAAAAACAACGTTTTTTTTTTAACATATACTTTTACAAGGGCGTTTTGCCTACACGCAACGACGTTGCGTGTAGAAGAAGCACGTACGAAAACAGCGGCGGTGGGATGTTTAAGCCTTTCGTAAAGGATTTGAAAAATGGTGCATGAACTTCTTGTTGTCATAAAGGCCCCGACACGGCTCGATTTACCCATTGAGGCCGGGCGTTGAGGAGGAGGAGTCAAGGTGGGCGATTGCCAGACTCTGGCGTGAATGTGCAGAAGAGGAGTCGTAGTGCGTGTTTTGATACTCATGGGTTCCATGGGCAATCATATGCATGACTTCATACAAGTAAATATGTTGCAGCCGTTGTTCGGAGTTTTTGGGCTTCTAGAGCCTGCCCAGGGTTCAGCATGGGTACTACGTACTTCAAACCAGGTCCTTGGCTATGTGCTTTAAACAACTATATGTTGGGGCGGGTGAAGTCTTATCTGCAACTATGCTACTGCGGGATCCCTGCGACGTGTTGCATGTCGACGTTGATGTCCAGTTCTTGAACGTCAGCCCCAAGCGCGCTCGAAGCTGTTTACAAAGCAACACAGGAAGAGTCTTGTGCCCACAGCCCTTGGCCGGGAAGCAAGACATCGTCGCAATCAGCAGCTGTTGGACTATCCACGAGCCATCTGGCTTAGGACCTACAGATCCCCTGCGACACCACAGCCAGCGAGGTGGGCAACTGCATGTGCAAGGCTTGCGTGTGAAATATGGTGCATAAGATTCTTGTTGTCGTGAAGGCCCCGACACGGCTGGATTTGCCCATTGAGGCCGGGCATGGGGAGGAGTCAAGGTGGGCGATTGCCAGACCCTCTCCCAGCCTTCCCAGCCCTCCGCTTACCCACCAAATCCCTCCAGCCAGGATGGGTAAAGATGAGTCCAGCCGCGTCAAGGGCCACAGTCACAGGAAGTGAATACTAATTATTGGCCCCTTAATACTAAAATTGCATTTCTTTTCACTCACCGGGGCACAAGCCAAAGCCAAAGCACACGCAAGTCTCTCAGGTGAAGATGGCTGGAAGGAGCCGATGTTTGTCCGTTGGAAGTCATGTTGCACCGCACCTGATTTTTTTGCGATTCACAGCAATTTACCCAAAAAAAGAGCAGATTCGATGAAATTCCCCTTCAATTGAAGAGTTTAATCCTTCAACCCAGAAACCCCTCAAGTGTCTTGAGTTTTTTACCCAGTACTAAAACAAGCAACAGCGACCCACCGCCTGAGCTCGAAGGAGACTTCGTAAACGCTGAAACAGTTGGCAGCGGCAGCCCCAACAGGGGGCCAGCCATTGCCACGCACATAGGCAGATTCTAGAGGGGATGCTTGTTTTGAGGGGCAGCGAAGACCCCCGTGGCTTCTCTAGACCCAAAGTCCGAGATTTCAGGCCCCGACCCGGGCAGCAGCTGCGCGTCTAGAAGCCACAACTGGAAAGCTGCATTTTTAGCATCTGTATGAAGTCGTGTGCCTCACAGCAAAGGGGGCTGTGGACAGGGGGTTGGAGGCTGAAGGCGGTGAGGGTTTGGTGGGGCTGCGCTGGAGCCCATAGTTGATTATGCATTCTTAAGGCGTCTATAAAGTAATTCCAAATGCACATAATAATTAAAACCACTCAATGAATTAGATTACCGGTATAATTGTAAACGCTTGCGCGCGCCGCCTCGGCAGCCGACAGAGGGTTTCGCAAAAAAAGGGAGGAAGGGCCGAGAGGTCAAAGGGGTGGGGGGGGGGGGGGGGGGGGGGGGGTGGCACTCCCCTGTAGGAGCTACAGACAGGCGGGGCCCTCCACGGCATCGGTTTGCCTCCAAGCGATTGGGCTGGGTCCCACACAGGGCGGGTCAGAAAATTTTGTGTTTGGGGGGAAGGGTTGAGGGGGAAGGAGCCCGATCCGGGTCTGCTTGTTCCAGACGCTTCTCGGCAGGAAGCCGAGGCGAATATACTGCTACAGGAAAATTCACTTCTTCTTGACAGGCTTTTAACGCATTTTTCCGGAAAAAAGGAGTAGAGAGCACACAGATTTATTCAGATGTAAACCGTGTATTTCATTTACAAATTAATGCTACGTTCCTTTCATCTTGTCATAAACTAAATTCGCTCAAACAATCTTGTCTTTTTCTTAACCAATAAATGAAGGGAAAATATGAGGCAGGAATATTGTAAGAGCGGGCCAAAAGCCCCCATTACTAAACAAATCTTGTCTGGTTTTCTTATTATAGGGGCTAGCTCATTCTCTTCATACTATATTACAAGCCCGTACGTAGGGGTACAGGCTTGGTGTAGCGGTGTGTTTGGGTTTGCCTTTTACACATATATTTCAAAGGCGGGGAGTTGGGATGGGGCAGGGGTTGGGAATAGGTGGGAGGGACGAGAATGGATCCAAACCCCTCAGCCCTACATAAACTCGACATAAGCCCTATAAACTTTCAGCCCTAGTCAACCCTAAGCAAACCCGGAACCCTAAACCGTCTAAACCCCCGAAGCCCAGGCACCCTAAACCCTCTAAACCGCCCTGCAGCCCAGGAGCATGGTCCCCTAAACCCCAGGAACGCCATAAGCCCTGCATAAGCCCTACATAAACCCTACCCAAACCCTACATCAACCCTACATAAGCCCTACATAAACCCTACACAAGCCCTACCTAAGCCCTATAAAATTCCAGCCCCAGAGCCCAAGGAGCATGGTGGAAGACCCAGGCCAGCTCGGAGGGCCACTCAAAGGAGATGAGGCCGATGATGCCGGCAGATTGGAGCCTTGGCGTTTGGGGCTTAGGGTTTGGGGTTTAGGGTTTGGGGTTTAGGGTTTTGGGTTTTGGGTTTAGGAGTCACTGTCGAAGGACTCCGCCCAGCACACGGGAATGAGGATGGAAGCCGCCACCAGGTCAAAGCACCTGGCCGAAGGACCTGCGCCAACTTCCGGAATCGGGGCCGGAGAAGGCTGAGCCAGGCAGTTGCCCGCCTGCCATGGCAAACAATGCCACGATCAACAGTGGCCGCATGCTTGGGGGCTCCTGATGGAATCTGGACTCGGGAGACTGAGGGGGCCCCTCCGAAAGACTTCCTGGATTCAGCCAAATGCTTGTGCACATGCCGCGCCTCTTTCAAGGCTGAGAAAACAACTAACAACTCTCCGCCAGTCTGAGCTGTGACTGCACTTGCAAGTATAAGAGTTACGAGAGGGACCTACAGTGAGAGACCGCCGCGGCGATGGTGCAGAGTGGGGTGACCACCTTTCATTTGAGCTGACATGCGCAAAGCTTGGAACGCAGGAGCCGGGTCTGAATACTGAGGCCTCGGGGGCCTCGGAACACAGGGTTGCGGCCGAGGCTGCGAGGCGTGAGATTAGAATTGGGATCGAGCGAAGTAAACAGTAGCAAAGGGCGGCCTCATGGAACCTAGAGGCTCCGCTACCCGAGACAAGAGGCAGCATCAAGTCGCAAGCCGCAGCTTGGTTCAAGATACGGAGGAAGGTTGGCATGCATGGGACAACTTGAAAGACGGTTTTGGAAATCTTACTTTCAATTCTTTTTGTCATGTCAGCTTCGTAACCAACATGTGTGCAATTACGGCATTGCAGTCGGAAGCGGGCACTGCGGAGCCATGGCTCCCATAGAAGCCTTGCAAGGCCGCAGATGCTGAAATGTCCATGCAGCGGCCCACAAACACTGCACAAGCCAGCTCAACAGCAGAGGAGGGAGCCCCTTTGAATCCACTGATGGGGGATGGTTCCAAGCTGTGCGTACTTGCAACATCCCTAGATCGGCCGTTCGGGCCAGGCGAGCTTGAGAAGCTGCTCGATCAGGCCATGTGAGGGGGGCCTTGTGGGACTTGCGGGCTGACGACACTGAGTGGAGTCCAGTGCACACCAAAAAAGCTGCAAGACTTGAGTGTGGCTTCTCGCCTTGAGGATTCCTCTGTGAGTAGGCATTTCGGAAGTCGTCTCGTGAATGTGCAGGCCACGCCAAGTTACCGGTAGTGTTAACGGCGCCTGCAAGTCGCGTGTGTCTCAAGTTCTTCATGTTTTTCCTCTCAGGATGCGAGCTGCATCGTCTTGAAGCCAGCGCCGCCCTGAGAACCCTCCAAGCTCGAGTGGAGAGGGCCGCAGCTACCAAGAAGAAACACCCCAAGGCACTGAGAGTTTTCTTCCCGTTCCCTCACGGGAGGACCCCGCAGTCAAGCTTTTCAGCTTGCAACATGGCTATATTACGCATGGCTCAGGTGGCTTTGCGCAAGGATGCGGCCATCTCCAGCCAATTCCTGGGACACCTGGATGTCGGGCGACGCTGCAAGGCCAGACTTTTCGGAAGTGCGCGGATGGCAATCCTCCTCGTCGCGCTTCAGGTCGTCCAGGCATCCGCACCAACGTCGGGGGAAGCGCGTCGTGCGCTGGTGGTAGACGAGTCAGGCCGCCAAGGCTGCGATGGGCTTGGGATTCGGAACTCAAACCTCGCGAACTTGGATCAATCCCAAGTAACACTCCAGAGCACGTCATGACGCAACGGGGGGCCTGGGGCTCAGGGTAGACGTGCACAGAGAAGCTCTGGCTTCGCCCAAGCATAGGCCTTTGCCCTCGTGCGTTTGCAATTGAGTTTTTTTTTTTTGGGGGGGGGGATCGGTGTTCCGGCTTGCAGCGACGCCGGCGTCCCAGAATCATAATGGCTCAAGCGGCTCAAGTTTACAGCAGCCTTATTGCCGCTGCAGTTTAGGTTTCTGCCACCATTCCGGTCAGCCCAGATGACAGGGATGAGGATAACTTGGCGTGAGATGAACCTGCCTGCGAAGGTCACCTGCGTCGCCGGCACAGTGATCATGTCCATCGGCATCCTCATGATCGCAATCCATGCCGGGTCACAGAACAATTCCGAGCCCACCCCGCTTGTGTCCTCGACGGAAGTTTTCATTGTAGAAGGCCGCACAAACTTCTCGGTATCCTGGAGCGGCACTGGCCTCAACATTTGGAGCCTTTGGAGCAATGAGACGAATCGTTGCGGAGCTTACTTGGACTCCCTGAACATCACCCGGCTGGAGACCGGGAGCCGTGATTTCCTGACATGGACTTGTAAAGGACGACTCATTATCCACGATGGCCAATTGCTTGAGCGGTATGGACAAACTACCTACGAGGACTGGGGGACCTACAATGTTACTAGCGACTTCCCCACATGGGTCTCGGTGACCACATGGCCCACCGGCATTGATATGGGCGATGATGAGACAGGGGGTGGTTTGACCATCGTTGGATTTCTCGTCTTCTTGGCTGGAGTCATCTTCCTCGGTGTGTCGTACGGTTGCTGCTGTGTAAGCAAGTACCAAGGAGGTGCGCCGCCGCTTGGTCCAAGCTCTCCCCCAACCTACACAGCAGGTGCGCTGGCCTCTCCCCCGTCCTACCAGGGCTCTCCGACCGTGCAGGCGCAGGAGGTCGTCGTGATAGCCCAGGTGGTGGGATATGGAGAGGGAAATCAGAGTGCGCCAATCGCATGAGGATTGTTCGATGCACCGGAGATGGGTTTTGAGTTAGCGAAGAAATGCTGTGGAGATCCGCCGAAGCTGCGGGATCTGCCGGCAGCCAGTCCAGGATTGGCATTGGCAGGCTGAGTGGCTGAGTTCTGTACAGGGGCCCTCTACCACCCCCACGAGACGCCCTGGTATTCTTTGTCAGCCCGCGTGTGACGGACAGAAACAAACAGGCTGCATGTCCGGCAGGCGGATGGTATAGTCAATGGGTTCCCCACAATGTGACATGTTCCCCAAAATGGTCCTAAACCCTATTAAGCATCATCTCAGCTCTCATGGCCTGTAAGACCAGTCGCCAAGTCTTTCCCGGATCGTAGCCTGCAGGTTGGATCACGGCCATCAGCAGAGAGGGCGAGCCTCATGTAGCCCTGCCGAGCGCAGCAGCAGGCACCTCAGCAGCGACCTTGAAAAAGATTCGAGTTAGAAGAACGACTGCACCGAGCCGGAAGCGCCACGAGGTGCAAAAGAAGAAGTCGAGATGGCTTGACGGAATTGTTGTTTCATAAAGCCTCCTTATGTGCCAGAAACGAAGGTCTCCTCGTGCTTCGCAACTGTTGTTGGGGTGGTTTTGTGACCGGAAATTTCCGGGCCAGGGGTCGAGACGGAGGCCAGTGGCCAGCGGATCGGGAACTGCCGGGAAAGGGCTGAGGCCCGTCCCAAAGGCCTGTCAAGACGAAGGGCTCCCATCCAGGTAAGGTCCAGACTCAGGCCGATCTGAAAGGGCCCCGCCAGCAAGGGCCACTGCACCTGTCCGGGAGGGGGCGGGTGGTTTTGGTTGCGCGCTCTGCCTTGCTGATGTCTTGCTTGCTCCTTGATGGGATGCCGGGGGCCGAGGTCAAGTCACTGTCCGTGCTGTCGCAGGCACGTTGAGGGTGCTCTTGCGTCAAGAGTTCTTCTCACTGTGAACCCACTGGAACCGTTTGATCTTGTGCAGTACGCTGGCTCACGTCTCCCAGCACGTAGTAGACTTGTTCCTTCTATAAGCCCTCAAGCCCCATATGAGGGTTTTCGATAAACGTGACCCCTAATAGGAACCCCCACAGAGAAGGATCCCCCTACAGCAAGGACCCCCAAAAGGTAGTGCTGCTCGTGCGGTGGAAGGTCACGGTGGGCTCGCAGCTCGAAGTGCAGAAACCTCAGTCACCCCGTGAGCCCATGGAGCCCAAGGGTTTGCGCGATGGGAATCATCCATCGCACCTGCCTCATGGGCCTTGAGTGTTACATTTAGGTGACTGTCAAGGTTGCAAGGGCTTGTTGCCCGGTTTCTTGCCTATTCGAGTGTTGTGTTCGGGTTGACACTCGGAGGTGCACGTCGCGGGTGCTAAAGTCGCTGCGAATATACCATGAGATCTCCTGAGTTCCGTCGCATCACCATCCTACTAAGCCCCCATACTTTCTGCATCCGGAGCCTGTAAGAAGGGTCGGCGAGAGTGTCGGCGAGTGCTGAGAAGTCCCGGAAGCGACAGACGCAGACGCAGGCTTTGCATGCTCGCTGTGCGCAGCGGGGAGGCCCTCAGCAGCCAGGGCCCTTAGCGGCCTAGCGCCACAGTCTATGTACAAACAGGGGTATATGGGCCTCGCCTGTGAATTTCATCTTCTTGTGGGGCTGCCTGTCGTCCGAGGTCCTTTCCTTGACACGCTGCTGCCGCACAGTAGGCTCCCCGACGGGTTTCCTGAGAATTGTCAAAGGGCGAAGGAGGTAGTGCAATTGAAGGCATGGCAACCTTCTGGGTTCGTTCCCCTCTCATGCTCGGCAGCACGCTCTGCAAGAGCTCGGCACGCCACTTTTGGCCAGGATCAAAGTGTTGGAACTGGCCCCCGAGCTGGCAGCTGAGCTTTTTCTCTTGCGGAGATGTATTGTCCGAGAAGAGGAGGGAGAGGAGGGCAAAAGGCAGAGAGGAAGAGCCTCGAAGAGCTTCGATGTCTGTGGACTCTTGGCATGGGATGCAAGGTCTGCATCTCTGCAGAGGAGTTGCCACATATGAGCTGTTGTTCATGCGAAGTTGGGGGGGGGGTTGTTGGGTGAGCTCCCTGGACTCTGTGAAGCCTGGCATCCTGGCCGCATGCAGGAGGGCCCTGGTGTCAACTCTGATAGCCGAGCCCGTGGCCTAGCCGTTGCTGCTTCGATCTGCTGAAACGGCTCCCAAAATTGGTTCCGACATAGCGCCATTATATAGGTTGTCTAGAAACCCTGAAAGGAGCTGAAAACTCTTGATGTATAGTCCCATATCCCATAGGAAAGAGCCCCGAAGTTGAAGAGCTGACTTTCGAGGCCCAACGAGGAGCACATCCAGGGCTGGGCCGCGGCCTCACACCCCTTTTCCCCCCCCCCCTCCCCTCCCCCCTTGGCCCCCCCCCCCCCCCCCCCCCCCCCCCGCCCTCCGCGGGTTTACGGCGTAGGGCTTTGCCGGAGAAAGAGAGCGCTGGTGCAAGGTCAGCCTCTCCAGCTCCACGGGGGCCCTCTTGGTCAGGCACCTCGGCAACTCTGAATCTGGCATTGCGTGATTCGTCTCCAAGTACTATCCCAAAAATGACTCCGATCCTCGAGTTTGGCAGTTGTCATGTGCGGGAGGGGTTGAAAATTAGGCTCAGTCCTACACTGGAAGGCCGAAACCCTCACCCCTTATGAGCCCTAGACCTTACCAAGCCCTTACATAAACCCCATAAGACCTCAAACTGCAAAAGCCTTTAAGAACCCCCCAAAGGGACCAAGGGCCGCGAGCCTCCCTTCGGAAAGGTTACAGCAAGGGAAGGAGAGGGGTGAGACCCAATTGCCACGGGGCCCTTCAGCAGAATCTCTGAGCCCCAAAGCAGAAGGGAACTGACCGACCTTGGAATCTTCTCCTGGAAGCTCTGTTCATGGACACTGGCCAGCGTACTCTGATGCCGTGTGTTCAGGTTGAGGGCTGAGATGCCCCGGGCAATGACAGTAGGGCTTACAAAGGACTTACGGGGATTACATGACCAAGAGGACGCAGCAGGAAGCAAAACCGCACCAGCATCTGAAACGATTCCAGTTCCCTAAACCCTAAACCCTAAACCCTAAACCCTAAACCCTAAACCCTAAACCCTAAACCCTAAACCCTAAACCTGAGTCCTGAGTATGGAGGTTCATGAAGGCCGGCACCGCCATGGCCAAGCTCCCGAAGGGGCACGGCAAGCCTTCTGCCAACGAGGCGGGGTGAAGGGATGAGTTTGTTGGTATAAAGCTTGAAAAGCCTCCTAAACATCCCCATGGACAGCCTCCACCCCCCCCCCCCCCTTCCAGCAGCCAACGCTTAGAAGGCCTCAAAGCTCCCTTTAACCACGCGGGCCGTTTCTTCTGACCTCTGAGCCGCAGCCCGATTGTGCCAGGGCAACGACCACGATGCGACTGATGCGAGGAAGCGCGTTCACATGGTCCAGCTGGCATATTGCTACTACTGCAGCAGTGTGAGGCTCTACATTCTGCGATTCGCCGCAAACGGCAGAACTCCCATGAATGGCGATTGACCTTAAAATTGAGGGCAATGTACTTGCAGGTGTAGCGGATTCGGTTGTATTGACTTCGTTTCCGAGAAATTCCTTGGCAGAGGCAAATGTTCTAGTTTTGTGCAGGATTGGTCTTCTGATCGAGTGTTGGGGTGGCTTTGTGTAATGGTCGGGGTTTGGGTCTATACTATGTTTCTGGGTAGAAATGAGCGCAAGAACGTGGACATGGCCAACTGCCATGGCTAACTTGGATTGGGGGTCAGATCTGACCATTGGGCCTTTGTTGGTACCTTCGGCTTGAGGTACACGATAGCAATCCATCAGCTCGAGGTCAGAGCGCCATACACTGGTGTCTGAAATCTGTGACTTCTGCACAGCAAGGAGCTTCAATATTTCCTACAGTACAGTAAGCCGTAGTAAGCCATAGTAAGCCCTTAAAACCCTGCACAAGTAGCCTACAACAACCAGGTAGCTCAGAGCTGGCCAGGTGACACGGCTGCTGGAGCTGGCGAGGAGCTGTTGCGACCATGAAGCTCTCCTTGCGTGATCCGTTCGATTCGTAACAAGGTATACACGTGAAAGGTGGAAATCGTACGTGTATGTGTATATATGTATATAAAGCGGTTTTGGTTCACATGCTTACTATATATGCGAGCTAGAAGTCCTCAGTGGCAAGCTGCTTGCTAGCAAGCTGCTTGCTGCAAATGCATGGAGGGCCAACGGATCTTTGCTTGGGATTCAGGATAGTCTCCCCTGGCATCCCTGGACACGTTAAGCTAAATCCTCAAAGCAGAAAGGCTTCCATTCAACCCCGCGGAAAAGTTTTTCTATTGAACCTATGAGTCCTTACACCCTACATCCTCAAACCCTAAACCCTTAACACCCTTAAAGCACTGAAACCCCTACAAGCCCTACAACCCTTCAAAAACCTGTGAGGGCTGGCGACTTGGAGGGCTTCAGGGCGATTGCTGAGGCCGGAGGAAGTTCGTGCGGCTGTGTTCGCATGGGGCGGGTTTAGTCTCTGAGGGGTTAGGCTTTTCGCTTCTGAGGGTTTATAGGGCTAGGGTGCATATGGGGGAATGGCTGGGGGCGATAGTACGGTCTCGGGCTTACCCTGGAGGTGCAGATGGTCACGTTTTCCGTTTGTATGTTCCACAAAACACGATTTTTCTTGACAACGCCGCATTGTGACTTTAGATTCTGGCAGAGGATTGACTTCCACGCAGCTCTTTCATCTTGATCAACAAACCCACGCGGTTCTCCAAATCATTGCATTATCCCTTATAGAGCCTGAGCTCTGTAAGCCCTACCCTCTCTCGGGAATGCAATCTGGAGACAGGCCGCGCGCAACAGCGCGGTCGCCAAGAGGTTTTGCACGCCCGGCCTTGCCTGTATCTTGAGTTGCTGACGCTGTAAGCCGACATGGAAAGCGATACCCGCTCCGGCCATGTTGTTTTTTTGGGGGGGGCGGGTCTTCCGCCACCCAGGCGAGGAGC